TTTTTTGGTTGCAGCTGTCATTGTTGTTTGGCGGGTCCGGGCTGGGGATTCAAACCCGCCACCTTAGGTGTACGTGGCTGGCGCCCCAGCCGGTTGAGCTATAGGCGCCGAGCCTCCTGTGCCATTATTACCGATGGGAAAAAGACCCTCAGTCGGGTGACTACTGTGCCCTTAGTGTGTGTCCATAGCTAGGTTGCAGAGCTGCAGTTTATATTCAGAGCAGTCTGATTTCAAAGCCTGGGCACTTCCCACTTCAGCACAGGGGCTGTCCTAGGAGATGAGACTTCCCATATGTGGTTCTAAGTCATAGGGGGTGAGACAGAATCTGAACCAAAGTGTCCAGGCAGCACTTCCTGCACTGGGAGGCTGGGAACTCCCTGTCCCTACAGGTATCCTAGCAAATCTTTACAGGCCACCTGCTGGGTTGTAGCCAAGGGATCAGGGCTGTAGACAGTCACTGGACTACAGTCTTCTGACTTGCTAAGGCTAGGTTCTTCTGCTGTCCACACTCTCCTGCCCGGTGTGCCACTGAGTGCTGGTCTGACTGGCTGTCTCATCCCACAGCTCCTCATTAAGCTGAAGACGCGAACATCCACAGAATACTTCCTGGAGGCCAGCTCTCGAGAGGAGAGGGACGCCTGGGCCTTTGAGATAACAGGAGCTATTCACGCAGGGCAGCCAGGGAAGGTTCAGCAACTCCACGTATTGAAAAACTCCTTCAAGCTGCCCCCTCACATCAGCCTGCAGTGAGTGCCCCTGTCCCTTCCCCTTTTCCTGCCTCTGGCTTTGCCGCAGCCTCTCCTGCCTGTGTGCAGTGGAAGCGGCCCCTTCTAGCTGCCCTGTTCCTATGTGATCTCTTGGGGCCCCTGCTGCTTTTGTGGGCCTCCATGATGAGACCACCCTTCTGTTTCAGCCAAGATGCTCAGCACTGTTACAGCTCCCCCTCAAGAACCTCGCCTTGGTCTGCTTTCTGTTGCTTATAATAGAATACCTGAAAATGAGTAATTTATAAAGAAAAGAATTTATGTGTTACAGCTATTGAGGGTGAGAAGTCCAAGGTGGAGGGGCTGTGTCTGGTGAGGACCTTCTTGCCTGTGGGGACTCTGCAGAGTCCCGATGTGGTGCAGGGCATCACGTGGCTGGCTCAGATCTCTCCTCCTCTTCTTATAAAGCCACTAGCCTCCTTCCCATGATAATCCGTTAATCCATTAACCCATTTATCCCATTAATCCATTGATCCATCATGACCCAATCATCTTTTAAAGGCCCCACCTTTCAATATTATCACAATGGGGACTGAATTTCAACATGAGTTTCCGAGAAGACAAACATTCAAACTGTAGCAAATCTCCACCCTCAAGTTATTGGCCTTGTTTGCTGTCTGGTGGGCAAGAATGTTCTGGTGGTAGTTGCCTTCTTGCTTGGTGGAGAAGCATTCAAGACAGAGTTATTGAGCACCTACTACATGTCCCGCGTTGTGCTGGGTGCTCAGCTGATGTGATAAGAACAAACAGGTTCTCATTTCAGGGCTTTTCAGCCCTACATAGGAAATGAGGAAAGATCCTCCATTGGTGACAGTCATCATCCCACAGAGCAGAAGCACAGCTGGTCAGTGGTGCAGGTGATACTACAAAGTAGGGATATTGAAAAGAGTTCCTGTCATAGAGACTGTTCCATCCGCAGGGAACACCCCCTAAATTCCCAGGCAGCAGGTCTGTTATACCCATCAAAGATGTGGATTGAGTCCATTCCTGGGCTCATAAACACTCCATTCCAGGCACTGAAACCTTGACAATTGGCTGTGGGTCTAGAGAGCTGCTGAAGCCTGGTGGGTGCAGGGAAGAATAGTTGCAGAGAAGAGTGGATAGCAGGTAGATTCAAAAAATGGCTTGAGAAGTAGTTGAACAAGACGTCTGAACTTAGTGCTGTAAATCACAGAGAATCCCATGGTCTACTGTGTAGTCTTTTTTTTTTTTTCTCCTCAGGCTGCTGCCCTGGGTAGAGTGCTGTGGCATCACAGCTCACAGCAACTTCCAACTCCTGGGCTCAAGCGATTCTCTTGCCTCTGCCTCCCAAGTAGCTGGGACTACACGCGCCTGCCACAATGTCCAGCTATTTTTTGTTTGCAGCCCTCATTGTTGTTTTTGGCAGGCCCAGGCTGGATTCAAACCTGCCAGCTCAGGTATATGTGGCTGGCGCCTTCGCCACTTGAGCCACAGGCGCTGAGCCTGTAAAGTCTTTTTTTAAGTTAAAAGTCCCCAAGTCTTTAGTCTTACTACAAAAGTAGTAAGGGTCTAGTAAAGAAATACTAGAACATTTAGATGACCAAGAATAAGAAAAGAACTGTCAGAAAATCCTTCCCCTCATATCCTGAAGCATACGGTAATGAGCAGCTCTATGCAAACTACCCCCAAAGGCAGAGGGAGCTGAGAGGCTGACAAAACCAGTTTCTCACAAAGTCAGTAGGGATTTACAACAGAAACCATATTTCTGGCAGCTGAGAGGCTGCACATCCCGCAGCCTCCAGAAAATATCCTTTATATAGTAAGCGTTTCTGGTAAAGCACAGGCAGCTGGTCATGGCTCAGATTTTCTTGTGAAACTCTTGACTACTGGGGAGATTAGCTATATATCATTATGGGGCATCTATACTGCAGGTATTATTTCTTTATGAAGGGTTATCTGTGAAATGGGAAGGGAACACGCTGGTATTTAGGACTAAAACACCAGTCATCATGATGATTTAACTTCAAGATGGCATCACTCTTGCTATGCAACAGTGCGTTTTCTTTTTTCCTCTCCTCTCCTCTCCTCTCCTCTCCCCTCCCCTCCCCTCCCCTCCCCTCCT